TGACGGGAACGAACTAATAGAAATTCGATAATCGTGTCGTGTAAGAGGCTTGGTCGACGTTCAACATTTCACATACATACGTATATACATATATATATATATATATATATATATATATATATATGATGTATATTAAAGCTAACTGTAAATCCACGTGCCATCTCATTAGCGTTGGTCGATGGACTCGCCCTTTTACTTCCAACGTGGCAAATCCTGCGCACGTCGACGAAACTACCTACGTGTGTCAAAGTTTTCTTGTTTCATTGCTGTGTAATAACGTGACTCGAAGTCATAATATAGAAGAAAGTTTTTACGTTAAAAGGAAGAAACATTATCTATTATTCTCTATCATCATCATCTGCTTTTAATTTATTATCAACGACGTAAAATTTTTCTTTTTTCTTTTTCTCATAGCAATCATTTCGAGAAACGTTTGTTAAGATTATTAATTAATGAATTTTCTTACAACCATATACTCGTTGAATCAAATGAAAGATGTAAAAATAATAGGCCTGAAGAAATGATGCAAATAGAAGATCCCATTCATAAAACCATTCTCGTTTAGCGATGTTCAATGATATATAACTTGCACCTGGCGATTATGACCAGTTGGTGAACAACATAGAATGTGGGAACGTGGATATTCTCTCTTTCCCTTTGTACGCATTAGAAACTATAATACCGTCTCTCGCTTTGTTAAGTAAAAGCTGGTATAAATCAGTGTGTTTACTCGACCGCGAAACTAATTCGTTAGTGCTCATTATACCTTAATTTAATGCAAATGAATGTCTCTTCTCTCACGTTTCTAGCTAGCAAATGTAAATCGAATGTGCGTGCACAAATGTAAATATCTTTATTTATTTTTATAAATAGTAAATAATTATCTTATGTAGTAAGCAAACGTCGACCGATAGTAATTAAAATTAAAAAAATACGTATTCCCGGATAGTTTCTATTTACGAGATAATTCGTCAATGATTTTAGAGTCTTACGGAATAATTAATCAATGCAATAATGTAGGAAATATTTCTTTAATGATTCACGATTAATTTAATGTTTCCTTTCGAAAGCATTATATTATTTTGATCTTTAAAGGAAGGAATAGGGATAAAAGGTAAAACGAAATAAATGTACTTTGAGAACAGAAATCACGAAACCCGTTTTCAGCATCCGTAATTCGATTCGATTAATTCGTACGATCGACTCTCTCTCCAGCGATCGCGAAGAGAAAAGCCTCGACATCGAAAACCACCATTGAGTCATGATGGTTTCGCAGGAGTTAACATTTAATCTCTTTCTCCCGTGTCTCTCTTTGCCTCTTTCTATCTATCGATCTATCTCTATATTAGAACTTCGAATTTAATATCCCAGACGAAATCTCACGTTTTATATAGAACGTACATTCGGATGATTATTATTGGAAAGTCCTATTATTGAATATCGGCTTATAAAATTCTACCTTTTCGATTTTAATAATGTTTTCTCTTTCTCTCTCTCTCTCTCTCTCTCTCTCTCTCTCTCTCTCTCTCTCTCTTAAATGCATAGAAGAAGAAGTACTTTTTTTCTATAGATATAACACATTCATAAATTATTTCTAGATATATACGTACACATACATATATATTATCAATTGTATATACATTAAGAAAGTTTATTCTTGATTCGAACATGTATGTATTACTTTTGACATTTGTTGTTATAAAAATGTTCAATCGGTCATTGTTAAAGAAGATAAATAAGAACAGAGAATTTCAAAGTGAGAGAGAGAGAGAGAGAGAGAGAGAGAGAGAGAGAGAGAGAGAGAGAGAGAGAGAGAGAGAGAGAGTGTCTAAGAGTGGGAGAAAGACAATGTGTAAGAAAGACAGACAATGTACGAGAGAAATGGAAGGAGGATAAAGAGTGGGGAGAGTGTATCAGCCTCTCTCATCTCCTCGTCATTGTCATATATAGTCTGTGTCCTCTTGGTTTATCCCCTTCCCTCCTTTCCCATCCCTCTCTCTCTCTCTCTTTCCTCTTGGACTCTCTAGAGACAAGACCAACTGGTTTAACTCGTCTGTTCGTTAACCGGCAGCCTTTCGGGGAATCGTATAGGAGGAGTCGTAAAACGAGCGACAACCAATTCGAAGGACATTGAAGAAGAAAGAGAGAGAGAGAGAGAAAGAATCATCTAACGGGTGGATATTATTTGTTAATTCCTCCTTTTTTCTTTTTTAATTATTATTATTATTGTTTTTTCTATTGAACTTTTCTCATCGTTGTTTAAATTATTGTATGTTACGATAGAACTTTGGAGCGAGAGATATAAAATATGTTATATTTTCGAGCTGATCGATTGATATTTAAAAGAAAAAAAAGAGAGAGAGAAAAAAGAAAAAAAGAAAGAACGAATATATATATAAGCAAGGGATTTATCTTTGCTAGACAGGAAATAGCAGACAGTTTTGATCCCGCTGTTGAACTTATCGAAATTCGATGCATATAGTCAAAAGAAATAGAAATGATACTCGGGTAGGGTGATATTATAAAATGTTCCGAGAGATGAGATATCAAACGACGTGATGACACAACTGTTGCTAGTAGAAGCCGTAGATCAGTTGAAATTATCCACCATAAGCGTGCAACTGTGACAGTGGATCCGAGAATGGTTTGAAATTTCATATGTTCGTTCGTTCGTCGCATTGCTGGTCTTGCATATAGAAAACTTAGAGACATGTGTGTATTATATGCAGAGAGAATGAAACGTTGAATGATTTCAGCAAGTTATTTTTGTTTTTTTTTTTTTCTTTTCCTTTTTTTCCAAGTGATTCTAAGAAAAGAAAAAAAATAGAAAGAGATTCACCTACGCCATCGTTCGTATCAGATGATCAAATGACTCAGGTCATGTTCAATATAATATTTATAAATAAAATAATTGAAGTTGAACACCCTGTACACTTTTAAAAATCAATATAAATATATAAATATATATATATATATATATATATATATATATTTGTCGCGAAAAAGCAAAACTAAATCCAGGAAAAATAAATTACAGTGAACGATAGCATTGCCGTGAGGAAACGCTCGTACATCACGCGGAACAAATTGGTAGCCGTGTTGTTAACACTTGGTGTATTGCCTGACAGAGAGAGGATGTCGTGTGGAAGAAGTGTGTCGTCGACTAGAAAAAAAAAAAAGAAAATAGAGAGAGATAGGAAGGGAGGAAAGAAAAAAGAGAAACATAATTTATTTCCCGTAATAAAAAAAAATATATATATGTATATATATACACAAATAAGAGTGATAGAATAATTAGTACGATTATCGCAGTAGTATATACCGGTAATAATAGGATATTAAAATATTATTATAGATAATTGAATAATTCAATATATATATATATATATATATACCGATAATATTAGAATATTATTAGAAATTTTTAATAGAAATACATGGATGATATTCACGAAACTAAAATCCAGTTATTCGTTGGAATTTTTGAGCTTCTAATTAAACGCTTTATCTTTGTAAGAAATATAAAAAAAATAAAAGAGAGAGAGAGATGCAGCATCTCTTGTCGAGAGAAGAACTTGGAGATTGACCCCGTCGCAATGGCACGCGTCCCGCCTGTTTTCAATTGATTAAGTAATAAAATTCTAACGACGTATAACTCGGTCGCTCACTTCTCTCTCTCTCTCTCTCTCTCTCTCTCTCTCTCTATTTATCTATCTATCTTTCTCTATCCCTCTCTGATGTTTCAAGACCATATGTGAATAATTTGTTCAATTACATCTCGAATGAAAATCCTCGAAAACGTTTATTGATTTATTTTTATAAGTTATTATATAACAAAAATGTACTACGATATTTATCGTATTAAAAGAAGAAATTTTTTGTTGATAAGATCAATTGTATTTAGAACAAATTTCAGTTGTATAGTGGGAGGAAAAATGTTCGTTCGTTGAAAAATACGTAATTATTATTGGTAACTCAATGACGATGTAAACTCGTAGGAATTTTGTTAATTCTCTTTTGTTCCAGTATTCTTTCGATTCATTGTCCGGGAACTGATTAATGTAAGATTCTCAGAAGACATATATATACATATGTATGACTCAGTGTCAGGATCATGATCGCAGGACTCTTGAATTATCACGTAATTCTTATTGTTGAATCTAACTAAGCTGAAACTTCATTCAAAATTTGTAACACTCTGATAGCGAGATAAAAGGGTTTCTATGTGACTCGTCGTTAAAATCTTTCTTTACTACGATCGCAAAAAGCTTTTTCCCCTCTCTCTCTCTCTCTCTCTCTCTCTGTACACGCGCGCACATATACACATACACATGTTCTGCGACATAAGCGGCCATTTTTCTTTCTTTCTTTCTTTTCTTTTATTCGAGTTCGTCCTACCTACCACGGAAATTTGTAGAATGGAACCGAGCCATTCTCTATCGTGTTCTCTCGTCTCCTTTTGTTTCGCCGATGAGAACAATTTGCGAGCTGAAGAGGCCCCCTCTATGTGTGTGTATGTGTATGTATATATATATAATATATATATATATATATGTATGTACTCGTCCACGACAGTCTTCTATATCGATCCCCCGTTGCATCTGCCATTTCCGGCCATGGAAGGTTAACATTGGTAGTGCTTTCGACGAAATCATTATGGACCTTGACAACTCGGCAAATTTTTTTTTATCGAAATATTTGTCGATAATTTATTGTCAAAGAGTCTAACGTGGTTATTGGTCAATGCAAGGAAGTCTTATCGAGTAGTTGAGTCAATGCAGGAAGTCTATGAGATAATAGTTGAGTCAATGACGACGAGTTTTAATCATTGACAAAATTTTATCGTAGACAAATGAAATTATTTCAAACTACGAATAATAATTCTTTCATATATCATTTGAACGTTTATAATTGTGTATTAAAACTCCAACGTTCTAATAATGTTTCTTTAATTATTATTTTTTTTTTTTTTAGACTGCCAATAAAGGGAAAGAAAAAGAATGGCGGTGTTCGGTTTGGTCTCGGCAGTAGCCGGGTTTGTTAAGGTGCGATATCTCATTGACAGAGCCATCATCGATAATATAATATTCAGAGCTCATTATAGAATCACTTCTGCGATTCTTTTTGCCTGTTGCATCATCGTTACTGCCAATAACTTGATAGGTATGTCATAATGATATATAAAATAATACAATTGATAATTTTGTTTCTACGTGAATTGATAATAAAAATTAAGATTATACGATAGAGATGCGATTTTATATTAATACTTAAGAAACAAACAAGTTGTACGATCAGTCGAGATCTAACATCTTTGAAGTTTATCCTATATCTACTGGAAGTACAGAAATAGAAACTTAACGAGGCGAGTTTTAAAAGGTCAAACGTCTGCTTACTCGGTCTGCTACGTTCATTATATATCTCGTGATGATTAGTATCAAAGATGTCCTCTTCTCTTCTTGACGTTAAAAGTATCATATGTCCGAGGACGTGAGCCTATTTACCGAGCATGATTGCACTATATTCGTCTCTTGAACGTAATCGTTCATAAACGTACAGCTAGATACGACTAAAATTCCGTTTCTTTGTTGATCGTTTTAGGAGATCCTATAAATTGCATAGCGGACAATGCGGTGCCAACTCATGTGATAAATACTTATTGCTGGATAACGTATACTTTCACGTTGCCGACGAATAACATGAAACAAGTTGGCACGCAAGTAGCTCATCCTGGTCTAGGTGGAGATTACAACGAGGAAAAACGATATCACTCGTATTATCAATGGGTACCCTTCATGCTCTTCTTCCAAGGTATTCTCTTTTATGTGCCGCACTGGATGTGGAAGCAGTGGGAGGAAGGCAAGGTCAGAATGATATCCGACGGTATGAGGGGTGCCATAGTCGATAGCAAGCAGGAACGCGAGGCCAGAACAAACAAATTGGTCGAATACATCCTAGATACTTTGAATTTGCACAACAGTTACGCCGCCGGTTATTTCTTCTGCGAGGCACTTAATTTTGTCAATGTTGTGAGTATACGATCAAAACGAGAATGTCCAATATCGATAATAACAAAAACAAAATTAAACGATTTGATCTCGTTCCGATCATTTAATTCCACATGGGTAAAAAGAAAAAAAAGAAAGAAAGAAAAGACGACGATTTTGTTGTTAACATTGACTATCATTTTTCCAGGTTGGTAATATGTTCTTCATCGACACCTTCCTAGGCGGAGCATTTTTGACATACGGTACGGAAGTCATAACCTTTAGCAACATGAACCAAGAACAACGTAGCGATCCAATGGTCGAGAGATTTCCAAGAGTGACCAAATGTACCTTCCATAAATTTGGTGCTTCCGGCACGATACAGAAGCTCGACGCTTTATGCGTGCTCGCTTTGAATATTCTCAACGAGAAGATCTACATCTTCCTGTGGTTCTGGTTCATTATACTGGCTGTGATGTCAGGCCTAGCTGTTCTCTATAGTATGGCAATCGTTCTTTTACCTAGCACACGCGAAACCATTCTGAGGAAACGATTCAAATTCGGTTCGGCTTCAGATGTCAGTACACTCATCAGAAAAACTCAAGTTAGTTGAATTCGTATTTCCACATATATATATACATATTATATGAAAATATCATTCTCTTTGAATGATCTAGTATTTTATTTTCAATATTTTAGGTCGGTGACTTCCTCTTGATACATCTGCTAGGTCAGAACATAAATACGATGTTGTTTACCGATGTTCTGAAGGAACTCTGTCGTCGATTCCACATTGGTTCAGGAAGTAGTGCATCACCTACGTCCGTTCCATCAGCACCGAGCACACTCGAGATGTCACCAATTTATCCGGAGATCGAGAAATATGCCAAGGACACGGAGATCTAAGCTCTAGCTTCTAACGTTTACGTTTGCTATACCCCATAAGAATTCCTCAACCTCCTTCCTTCCTTCCTTCCTTTCTTCCTTCCCTCCTCTATTTCAATTTCCTTATTGTGATAATACCGTCGGTGCCTTTAATGAGACATCACGTTCAAAGTTTTCGTGCTACGATATGATTTGTATTTTAATTTTGCTTATATATATAATTTTTTTTGGGGGGGGGGGGAGGAAAGAAAATTAAAAAAAAGAAATTCTTTAATTTTCTCAATCATCGAAGCACGAGGAGCTAAGAGTAGATTTATATTATTAAGATTTGTATTTTAATCCCAAGCTCGAATTATTTAGATTCTAATTAGGAAATTAAATATATTCGTTCTATCAATTCATTCCTTTTAATAATCAAATCGAAAGATATGATATATTTTCAGATATATTTTCTTATCGAGTAGACGACAATAAACAGCGAGAACAAAAGAAGAAATGTAAAATTACTAATGAATGCTAATTAATCGAAGAAGCTAACATTCGTTATTTCTGTTCTTTCATCCGGGAGGATACATTTCTGCAAGAATTTAATTAGCCATTGGAATCTATGTATATGCGTGTGTATGTACATACACGTACACATATTGTAGCAGGTGATAAGAATTTTGTTGTTTGATGTTTCGCAAGATGAAAAAAAAGAATGAGACTAATCCTAAAGATTTTTTTTTTTTTATGTTTAAGCAACGAAGCAACGTTCATAGATTTTATGATCCATTTGTTCTCTTTCATCGCGTTTTCTCGGTTTCTTTCATTCCCCTCTTTTATATATATATATATATATATACGTATATGTACTAGAAATGTCGATTTATTCGTAATTGGTGCAATGACTGGTAGCAAGGTAAAAAAAACAAACAAACAAATAAATATATAAATAAAAAGTAAAAGTTTAGTATAGAGTTTGTTATGTGAGTTTGTCGAAGAGGATCTTAACTCGCTCGTCAACGAGTTGAAATTATATTTTGCTGTGTCTTTTAGGATTAAAGCAGGGTGGAACGTTAATCGTAATCCTCGAGTTTCATATAAATGAGTATAATAATATTAATTTTTTCTATTAGAATAAATATACATATATATAGGTATATATTTGTTTTTTGCGAAGTCTTGTTTTAATTTTTCAAGTCTCCAATTATTCATTGAAAAGTCAATGATGAAAAAAAAAAATTATATATATATATATTACTGAAGCTGCCAATAGTAATGTTATACATTTATTATATACATTTATTATATATATATAGTATATACATGTACGTATAGAATTATTATTCTCATCTTAGTATATAAGAGAAACGAGCGAGAAGATAATTGCAACAACTGTTTAAACGATGTGCCTTTTATAGAATTAAAGATAATGTTTAATACGTTAAGTATGATAAAATTAAGTTAGATTATTATAATTGCTCTGGTAACTGTTGATTAATACGAGATGATAAGCAAAATTCATGTCCGAATTAAGTTGGAATTCTTCAAAAAGAATTCTGTATGTATTCGTCCAGTTCTTTTTTTTTTATTATATGAAAGTGATAGAAAATAATAAAAGGAAAATACCTACACGAAACGATTGACATAATGTACATATATATATTTTCGTAATATGTATACTATATAATTATTTTTGTATGTTCGTTTGACATACTCTTATACAGGGTGAGCCAGTTATTATTCATTTGTTTCGAAATTAACTTTTATTAATATCTTTTTTAAGATTAATTAATAAATAAATAAATTTGTATGAAACGATAATGATTATACCGATCCATCCTGTAAGTATGTATAAAATGAACGTATATATATATATATATATTTAAATGATTTGCAGGTACATATATGTACAAATAGATATATTAATTCCCTATATGAAAGAAAATATTTACAAACGTTTTTCTCAAATCGTAAATTTCGTGAAAGTCAGCGAAGTACGCAATTCCATTCATGAATATGTGAATTTGTTTGTTTATGTTTTTAATCCGACTTACCGATTTCCCCAGTCGACCTTGTTGATAATCCGAAGTTTGAGTTCTCGAGTTTGGTCGGTGGTGAGAGTGCCGGCTAAAAGTTGTCGTCGCCATTCCAGTAGCTCTCGCATCACTTTCCGCAGCGTGTTAAACTTGTATATTTCTCGTTCCTAAAAATGAAAGAAATATAATGTTTCGTACGTGAAATTGAAAGCCGAACATAAAAGAAAACTAGGATAAAATCAAAACGAAAGATAAGAGGTATATATGTGTGTGTGTGTATGTGGTAAATTTTGATATTGATTGATGGATTAATGAACAATAATTGAAGCCCTAATCTTCTCAATTGATCGATGACGCGTAATTATACGAAATATTCGGTATTAATAGGAGAATCTATTGTGCATCTATCTACCGTGCATTATCGTGTAATCAAATTTGTGTTCATTCGAAAGAAGAATCGCCAACGAAAGAGAAATTAAAAGAAGATCGATCCAGGTAATACGTATACATATGTATGCGTATATATATATATATATATATATATATATATATATATGTATATGTATATATGTACTTACCACGTAAAGCCTTTTCCAAATGCCACCCCATTCTCTAAGGACGAGGGTAACTTCCCGAACGACCGGATCTTCCAAAGGGATAACAGACTCAAAGAGGCCCTCATTGTCGATTTTACAAGGTTTCAGGTGTACGTAGGAACTAGGAAATATTCCTTTCACTGCACGATTCTTTGTGGAAAATCCTCTGTACCAACCTAAGAAAGTCAGACAAATCTCGATAATATACATATAAAGTGTCTTGCATTGTTTGTAAATTTTTCGATGCTGCTAAAAGTTTTTTTTTTTTTTTTTTTTGGATATGGGATACACATTTGTTTAGACTAAGTTGATAAGATATTGAGTTTTGGATTACTATTATTATTATTATGATTACAGCTTTATGTTACCTGCACATTCTTCCAAAATCTGTACTGTTTCTCCAATTTCAAGTGGAAGTCCATAACGTGTCTCTCCTCGCCAATTGTAGACAGCTAAAAATAGAACAAAAGAAAAAAGATAATAATCTATCATTAATTGCATATATAATTAATAGAAGAATATAAATACATATGCATACAAATATACATACATAAATATATAGTATATATAGGAACGTAGAAATGGACGATTATGTAAATTTCAATGTTCTTTTATCGTTGATTTGTCCTTGAATCTGAACCATTCACGAGTCGAGTCTCCCTTAATCGAGATCAAGGGCTACGTAAAAGGCAGCCTCGAGCGAAAAAAAAACAGTGAGAGAGAAAGAGAGAAAAACTCTCAAACGTTAGAGTTTGCTTATTTATTAACTAGAAATTGTGAGATCGACGGACTTTGCTGTGCTGCTCTTTGTGGCCGTTCATCTACAAAGAAAATTGCAACTACGACACAAAGGATCGATTCAATTGCTATCGTAAGATCTTCTTAACACTTGGACGTTTAATATTATATAGAGATTCTAAAAACATTTTTTTATTGATCGGATATATTTAACAAAAAAAGATATATATATATACATATATTCGTAATAAAGAAAAGAAAAAATTCAATAGAAAATTCACAAGGAATGATCTGTCGATTATTTTAAATGCAATTTTTATAAAAACTCGATAGAGAATGTGATCGATATGTTAAGAGAAGAGGAATGACCTATGGATCATAGTGCGTTTCGTACAAATTAGTACACGTCCATTCCTGGAATCGATAAGCGAGTCTTGGGGCACCGGATACGCGTGACGATGCACGTATGACGAGCCAACTTCCGGTCCTTCGCTGGAGAAACGTACGCGAGATGAATCTCGATGAGTCTGTCCATCTCTCTCGCTCTTCTTTCTACTCCTACGAGAGAGAGAGAGAGAGAGAGAGAGAGAAAGAGAACGATACGTACACGCACGTAAAAGCGAAAATAAGTACATGTACATTCATAAGCATAAGTAGTATAAGTTGAAAGGCGTCACGTGTATGTTTTTCTGTGTTTGTGATGTTCGAATGTAACTCATTTACTCGCCCACTAACATGTGCCAATGAACGAGCAATTGTGTTGGACATCCCACAGAACGATTTTCGACATCTTTTTACAACAGCTCTATCATTATTTTTTTTTTGTTTTTTCTTATTCTTCGAAACAATTTTTTATCGTTCTAAAAGAATATACAGAGTATCGCGAAAATATTCGTAAGAAATAAAAATAATTAAATGCTTTTATTTTTCTTTATCTTAGAAATAATCACGATTGTTATTAATTCTTGAAATAAAAATTCTGACTTTATCTTCGAATGACGTTTGAATATTTCTGCAAGATGAATTGCAGAAACGAATGACAACAATTTCGCAAATCGATCATTCAAATAATGCTTAGTTAATACATTTTTAATGTTACTTTATAAATTACGATAAAATTTGTCCCATTTCGTTTAAATATTTTTATATACAGACATTTTTTTATCTTTTTTTTTCGTCGATCGTTAACAAAAATGATGTGTGTATAAACGATCGTGTGTGTACGTACGTACGTACGTAAAGACAAGATTTAATAGTTTTAATTATCTTTGACGATCACCGAAGGTAATTGTCTATTACCAATAATAGTATTATGAAATACGCTTTCTTTCTCTCTCTCTCTCTCTCTCTCTCTTTCTCTCTATTTCTTTCTCATAATAATAGAAATTCCATTAACGAGAAAAATAATAAAATTGACAAGGATCCTTCTGTCGTATCGTTTGTTGCAATAAATTCGAGATTGAGTGGTAAACTCGAACGAGATGAAAAATCGATCGAGCTAAACATTGATGAAATAAAAATGATAAGTAAAAGACAACAGTTATGAAAGAATACGTCGAAATTGAACGTGATATATTTAATTCGTCGAGAGAAAACACATTGGAATTAATTAAACAAAAAAAAAAAAAAAAAAAAAAAAAAAAAAAAAAAAAAAAAAAAAAAAAAAAAAAAGAAAAAAAATCAAAGCGATAGTCGTAATAAATTATTTCGTTTTTCTATGGTACATTTAATCGTTAGAAAATAATTCTAACAAAAATTAGATAAATATCTTTTTAGAGTTTGAAGTCGTATAGAGTAAGTATCGATCCTCTTGAGAATAAAACGGAAGAATAGAAGAATTGTCCCGAGGATAAATTTTTCCTGACATGAAAAAAGAAAGGGGGAAAGATTTGGCAGAATAGTTCTTTCTACGATCGTACGAGGTTCCATCTGCTTGTCTTCCTTTTCAAGAAAAAGAATCAATAATGTCGCTCTTCTATCAATTCGTTAGATATATTCGTACGAATACGCTTTAGAGAAACAAGAGAAATTCGTGTATTATTGGAAGGACGAAAATTTCACTACATCTCAGTTTAATAAACCTAAAGACATCTGTGATAAATTGAATTTATTTACTTACATAATTATTAAAGAATAACAGGATTGCGAAATTGTGAAAAAGAAAATTTATTCCTTCGAAATCTTTTAATATCGATTATTTCTCATGCTTAGTTCTTTCTTTTTTCTTTTTTTTTCTCTCTAATGGAACACCTCATATACTTTGGGGAACATGTCCGAATAACTTTCCAAACTAAAGAAGGACCGACGAAACGCTTTCGTTCGTCATGAGCACGGAAGCTACCCCGTAGCTTTTCCCTCGTTTTCTCTCCGTCCTGAGTTTTCCCGGGGAATTAAATCGATAACTCCCTTTCTCCTATATAAAACATTCGCAACGGGGGACCCATAGTCTCCTCGTGGCAGGCGCAGAAGGTATTCTCCTTCCGTCTTTCTCTATCTCTCGTTACCCCTATATACATACATACATACATACATATATGTATATACGTATAGATAAATATGGTATACAGGGTGTGCTACGAAATAAGAAGAAATAAAAAAAAAGAATAAACAAATCTGTCCGTTAAAAAATATTATTCTCCTTTCATTACATTTTGAAATAATCTCATTTTAATCGTTCAATTAATTAATTCTATCTTTATACATAAGCATCGATGATCATTCTGTTTATTACAAATTAAAGAAAAATGATAAGTTTGAATAGATAAATTAATTATAATTTATATTAAATATAAATAGTTAATATATTACCCGTTATTGGAATAAAATCAAAAGAATTAAATATAGAATGATATTTCAAATAGAATTGAATGATTTTTCTAATGAACGTTTCGCTGATCGTAATTGTGTAGGACACCTTGTATACGTACACAGCATCTCTTTGTATTTCTCTCTCTTTCTCTAACTCACGTGGATTCACACGTGTCGAGATACTTGGTTGGTGTACGAGCCACGCTGAGCTTAACGACGACAAGGAGGGGTTCTAATGCCTTCTGGCACGTAGGGATCCAGGCATGACGGAAAAGTCTCGGATGAAACGAGCGGACGTAAACAATGACATCTGAAATCATTAACGTCCATCCGTGGATGAAGAGACTTCTGCCTGGCTTCCTCTTGCCTCCTCTTTTTCTCTCTCTTCCTTTTTCTCTCACTTTCTCTCCCTCTCTCTCTCTCTCTCTCTCTCTCTCTTTTTCTCTTTTTGCCTCTGTCTCTTTTTTAATTATTTTTCAAGCCATTACAATTTCGTAACACTCGACTACTTGAAACTTGAAACGAATAAAATACTACTGAATCATTCTAATAACATATTTTTTAAAAATGAATTAATTTTTGTGTATTAGCAATTAAAGCATTTCTTCCCTTTTATTTGTATTTGTTTATTTTTATTTTTTCTTCCCTCTCCTTCATTTTCATTATTTATGTTATTCGTTTGGGAAGACATATGAAAGTGCTTTAATCATGCTCATTTTTCTTTTTTTCACCAACAATGCAATACCTTAATCTTATCTACTCAGTATTTATCTCACTCACAATGCGTATCTAAATTATCGTTTTATCAGAGTACGAAATAGATAGATAGAGAGAAAGAGATAGAGATTGAAAAACGATGGGATAGTTTTTTAATTAGATTTCGAATCGACTATTCGATTTATCATTTTTCAATCGCATTAGGCAAGAATATATTCGAAACGAATGGTTACCGTTCCTCTTTTTCTATTTCAATACTATTATTTATCATTATTGTTTGTTATATTTTGTGATCGTTCCTTTTTCGATTTATATAAATGCCCGCATATAAATCAATATTTCATTCATCGTGTTTTATTTCGGGCACGTCGAATACCAATCGAAATTTATATCCCGAGGATGAGTGTTCTCTTTGGGGAGGGGGGGAGGGGGGGAAGGGCGAAAAAATAAAAAGTTTCATAATCGAACGATGAAGACAGAATGAAACGACGAGGAAGCAAGGAAAAAATTACGTGCCAATTCACCCCACGTACTTACTATATTTTTCCTCTTTGGCTTCGGTCCATAAGTAGAATGGTTAAATTTCAAGACACTTATCGCGTTCTTTGTATTAATATATTTTAATATAATTCATTTAAGGATTAAAAAAAAAAAAAAGAAAGGAAATATTTCATAAATCATGAAAATTTAAATACTTACTTTAAGCTTTTTTTCTCTCCGATTTTTCTCTTTCGTTTTCTCTTTTTTTCTTTTTTTTTTCTCTCTCTCTCTCTTTTTTCCTTCAAATAAATCTTTCTTCTCACATCGTGAATTTCTATTCGAAAGAAGAATCGAGAGCAAACACTCGCAAGTTTTAAAAGACCTAATCTACTTGAGTATAACAACGAGGAAAGGGGGGATAGGTGAAGATAGAGAGAGAGAGAGAGAGGAATGGATCTTCCTCTACGAAGGAAATCCATTCTTTTCAAGATTTTCTTCAACGATAACCTCACGTTGGATACAGATACGAGATTTCGGAGATTATCCTCGACCTAGCGAACACGAGATTCGTGATCTCTTGAAAACTTCTTTTCTATGATATTATCTTAGTTTAAATCATTTTAGTGTACAAAGTATCTTTCTCTTTCTCTCTCTCTTTTCTTTTTAATGTTATACGAATACATGTTTCGTTTCTTTTTATTCATTCGCACGAGTGAAATAAAACAAGTACAGGGTCGAAAAAATTTGTTCCTATTAAAAGATAATTCGCGTTAATTAAAAATTGATGCTAATCTCTTAACACCTTCTGAAATAACTTTTTAAATTGATAGAGATAATAATCGTGAGAAATATAGATTATAATTGTCTCATGCAATTTTTACATTTAATTTTTAATAAGAGAACGTTCAGAATTATTAAAAAAAAAAAAAAAAAAAATAGAAGAAGAAGAAAATCCTTTATGTAATCGTTAATTCGTTCCTTTTTTTATTCTTTCGAGCAGATGAAAAAAAAAAAAAAGAAAAAAAAGAAAAGAAAAGAAAAACAAAACGATGATTATCATCATATTGTACATTGATAGAACGATAGAACGTAAGTTTACGATGCAAAAATTCTTTACGTACTTTGGTTGACGCAACAGATTGCATTACATCGCATCAATAGTACTGTCTACGATAATGATCCGAAGATAATACGTTTTTGCCAAACACTCTAGAGCCCGTAGGATACGTTAAATCTCTTGCACAATGGATAAAGAAAGAAACGCGGAGGTAGAAGAAGTATGAAATGAAAGAAAACTCGAAAACAATAGGAACGAAAGAGGAACTAAAGTATACAATGCACGACAGCGAAAAATGAGAGATGCACGTGATAGTTGGAGTTCATTGAGAATGAATTCACAAGTTTAACAAGTCAAAAGAATTCATTAGAAATCTTTTGACGCCTATAAAAAAAAAGACATATATATATATATAATAAATTTATAAAAAATTCATGAATGTCTGAATTTCTGAAAACTGATCGAGTTTTACATAATTCATCTTCTAATTAATGCATATATGTACGTTTGAAGATTTTGAAACAACGCGTGAAAGGGAAACAATTCTTCGATTAGGAAATTTTTCTATGTAAAAATATAGTACAGTCTAAAGTCAATTATGATACTAAAATAGATAAATTTTTATATCTAAAAAATGGTTGACCTTTCGACCTATGTCCACTAAGACTTTTGTATTCAGTATAGTGTATTCTATGTACTGTATAAATATCGAATCGATTTTTTAACATCTTGTATATATATATATATATTAATGGTTATATCGTAACTACGTAAAATACTAGCATTTAGAGTTCTATAACACGTATCTGCAATAGTGATAGCACAATGGAAGTGGAAAAGAAAGAAGTTGCGAGGGCATGACCGCTCGGATAATGTCGTAGATTGATAGATTGAAAGATTGAAAGATTGTGCTTTAATCATGTTGCGGGCATAGCTCTATGGCTACGGCGACGTATTTTATGGTGTAGCAACGTCTTTAACATTCGGGTGATTCCATACCCGCCAATTCGACGTGCATCGCATATTAAATTACATACAATTTTTATATATATATTTATACATACATGTTTAATTATTTTTTCCTTTTTCGTTTTGGCAAACAGTCATTTGTCGATCAACGAGGAGGTGATTCATTAATTAATAACAAACGATTGGCGAAATTTTGATTGGAGAAATTTTAGTAAAATTATTGTTATTTTTATTATAATTATTATTATACTTGCCGTTGTTGTCGTTCTATATAATTTTATATTTAATTCTATATAATTTTAGAGAAACTAATGATATATGTATTTACATATAAAATCAACACTCGGTCGAAAGCAACGGATGCTTGTGAAAAGAGCGACGTTACATCGCACTCGGTCTGGAACTCCGATCGTTAATTAAAGCATCGTCTATATATATATACATCGCGACAGTACGCGAAACAGCGAACGAAGAATTGCGCGTCACGATTTAAACGAATAGTTTGGTCGAATGCAATCTTTTCTTTTTTTAGGGGTTGAAAGATCGAAGTGCTTCGATTCTCATTCCTGTCTCTTTCTATCTTTAGATAATGTCGAGAGCACTAGGATCATCGAAAAGAGAAAGAGAGAGAGAGAGAGAGAGAGAGAGAGGAACAGATAGAACATTTTCTTTTAAAATAATATATATATATATATATATTATTTAAAATTTTTCTTTTATTCGGATGAGTGTTAAGCGACAAAAAATAAAAGCAAAACGAAGAGACTTCTTCTTTTGGCGACTTCCGTCGTCGGGAATGACGATCTGCATTACGAGCCCCCACATACGTACATACGTAAGTAGATATTATACATACATATTTCTAACTTTTATAGACACTTGCATATATCTTACGTTCAATTAAGTTTCTTTTATATGCGTACGATATATGTTATGTTTATTTCTAATGGAGGATGTTTTCGATTTATCTTGGGAAAAGAAAGGAAAAGGAAGAAGCGTGTCATATACTTTTAATTTTTTATCAAATATACGTAACAATTGTTATCACGAAAATAATAAAAAAATACATTTAAACAAAAAAGAAATTAAAATAGAGGAAGAATAAAATAGTTAAATAAGTAAATAAACAAAAAAAAAATATAGTTCATGGCCATCGTGTTCACTGACACGTCTTTCAGACGACGCGAAATCGCAAAGCTAATTGTAAGTAGCATATCCTTCTCTCTCTCTCTCTCTATTTATTTTTTCTTTTCTCTCTCTCTCTCTCTCTCTCTCCCATTTGCCTTATCAAACGCGCTCCTTACGCTACTCGTGTGGACGATCAATGCATGAATGGACCCACACGTAGGAGGCGCGCGTACCCGCACTACCTCACAAATACGCAAAGAAACATACACACATATATAGGTAGGTAAGCACGCACACATGGATTAGTAGCAGGCAACAGGATCATACGGAACGATCTTTCGCTCGATTCTCTGTCGTCGTTTATGAAGTATACCCAGTGACGAAAAAATACACTATTTTTTGATAACTTTTTTATTTCTATTTTTTCTTCTTATTTATATATTTATTTATTTTTTCTTTTTTTTTTCAACGAAAGGTACGTAGAAACGTAGTATTTTTTTTTCTTTTTCTTTTATTTTTTTTTTTTTTTTTTTTTAGGCACGTGTATCGTTTCTCTTTCAAAAAGTTTAGTTAGATTTTAAAGAAGAATGATCGAAAATATATATATATATGTATCTATGTATGTATGTATGTATGTATGCATATAAAAAACAAAAAAGAAAGGATAAAGAGATTTTGACAGATCCGTTCGAGGTCGATGCCGGATGATGTATAGTCTCTCTCTATCTCTGTTCTTAGAGAAGGATATCCTTTCGTTATCCCTTTCTGTCATGTTTGAACGTAAACTCACCGACGCCATACTTGGTCGTTTTCGTCGTCGTCCACATCTCGTAAGTATTTTCACGAACTCGGCTACATGCCCTGCCAAGCAGTCCTTCCAAGCACTCCTAGTATCACGAAAAATTCGAAAACACAAACATTGGGTGTGTTGCCGCACGAGTGCTACACTCACGGGTATTCTCTGGCGCCCGAAGCGACGTTGCCGTGATACGAAGCGCGAGCACACTACCGACACTAACTTCCATCGGCAACGTCGTTCGATCTCGACGTCACGTGATACTCACACACGTACATATCTAACATAATTGCCCGACGTTCATTTATCATTTTTATTTCCTTCATTTTTTCCCCAATGAAAATTTGAAATATTGTTCATTTTTATTCCCCGATAATTAATTTATAACACTCGTTGCGATTCCAATAATTTATAAAATTTATTAAAGTTCAATATTTATGATAAACATTTTCTATTGACTTTCCTTTGAATTAATTTATGTTATTATTTTCGTTAAACTATTAGAACATTGTAAAATGTATTTTAGAATATAATCGATAGGAATGTTATTATTTTTAAGATAACAATGATTACTTTAATTTGGATCCTCGCATCGTGGTACCGTTAATACCATCATTTAGGAATTATAACTACGGACCTGGTCAAACGAAATCTTGATGTACATCTGCAACTATAAATGGCGGGTAGTTGAAGTTCCCTCTCCTAAAAAAATACTTTTTACGAATTATTAATAGTTAAAAGTGTTTAAAAGTGGTAAAAGCAACTTGAATGTATATAATCTCAATCCAAATATATCTCGTTAAGGACAAATGTCGAGTTCGAAATCGTTCTCGCCGAATGATATAAATAACAAATACTCGAGAGACTTTAGTCAAATTTAATCGGCCTTATCTTCTATTTCGTGTAATAGATATCTTAGGCTGTAACGAGTAAGTAAAATTTCATATATATCAATATATTAATATAATTGAGGGTCTCCAGAAGCAGCAACCTCCTTGTGGTGAGACCTGGGCAATCGATATTATTTTTGATATAATACATATCATGATTTGTAAAAATTAACAAAATATTTTTTCTTCTTTACAAATTCTAATCACAATTAAAAAGGATTCTATACACTTTGTTTCATATATGTATTTTCTCTTGTTTACATGATATATATTACATATGAAATAATATTGAGCGAATGGCTGCTTAAAGTAGGTTAATTTTATGTTAAATTTAAGAACAAAAGAATTCAACGATTTAATAATTAATAACAATGGAAAATGATTAAAGATGAATGTTGATTATCGAGCATAATATTCATGTCATTAATTGATAATAGTTCTTTAGTTCTTATTTTCTTTAGCATGACGTAATGTTAAAAAAAAAAAAAAAAGAAAAAGAAATCTATTTAACTTAAAGAAAAATCCTTCATAATCAAGGAAAAACTTTGTCGAACTTTCGAGGGAATTGGAAAAGTAGAGTGTATGTATATAAATGTATACGTCCATAGGTGTATGTATGCTCCTCATTCAACAGGTGAACTCATTGTTATGTCATAGATAGTTCTATATTACTAAATCAACCTGGAATAGTTTGCCGTTGAATTATATCGCAGTTATCAAAATTTTCAAACGAATTAGGGCATTGTTTAGACAATATATTCATATGATAATTAAAATAAAAAATGTTCTTTCTTTTCTTTTTTTATTTATTACATAATATCTCAGATATCGTGTAGCAAATTAATATCTACTCGTTTTTGCGTTTTCCTATTTATTTGAAATGTACATATTTTTTTTGTTGTTTTTCCTTTTTACCGAAATACAAGGACATGTAACTATCTACGATAATCCACTGTTTAGATCTCATATATTTTCAAAAATGATTATCCATCAGTGTACAATGAGTAAGGCGGAAAAAACCTAATATCAAAGTTATCTTAAAATAAATTCTTAAAATTTTTATTTACAATTATAACCCTTACGTAAATAAGCGATGACAAGTAATACTCATTGTGTACAGTGGTACATAAGATTAGTACGTAGACTAGATCGAAGCTACGACGTGATCAAATTCATTCCTTCCGCGTGTTTTTAAATGTCTTTTAGAAATTAATTGGTTTACCAAATGCAGCAGCCGTGTGGGCTTCTCTAAGTGCTTCCGAACATGTCTGGAAAAAAGAAAAAAGAAATTAATTAATTCTTACACATTCATAATCATTCAACAAAGTGTATTTAATAAAATTTATTATACTAACGGGATGTGCATGACAACATCTAGCTAAGTCTTCAGCACTTGCTCCATATTCCATTGCAAGGACAGCTTCGTTAATAAGTTCTCCCCCAACAGGACCTATTATATGGACTCCAAGAATTCTATCCGTTTTGGTATCAGCCAAACATTTAACGAAACCTTCCGCCTCGAGATTCGTTTTCGCTCGGGAATTCGCAAGGAACGGAAACTTGCCGATCTTGTAATCGATCCCTTCCTTTTTTAAATCTTCTTCGGTTTTTCCAACCCATCCTACTTCGGGATGAGTATATATAACGCTAGGTACACAATTGTAATCTATATGTACGGGTCCTGTTTAAAGGGTAAGCGTTATTAGATTACAACGTGTTAGATTATATTGATAAGGTTCAATGATTATAATTATACCTCCAGCTATGCCTTCGGCAGTAATTGTTCCTTCGTCTTCGGCTTTATGCGCTAACATTGGACCATGAATACAATCTCCTATAGCGTAGATCCTTTATACATATTAGATTATTATTATTATCTTCGACAAATAATCCATAATTAGGATTGAGAGTTTATACTTACGAAGGTATTACTGTTTGGAATCTATTATTAACAGGAATCCTTCCCTTTTCGTCCCTTTCAATACCCAAGTCTTCTAAACCTAAATTCGTTGTATATGGCCTTCTACCAACGCAAACTAACAAAACTTCACATCCTAACTCTTCCTTTTTGCTAGGGTCCTTTACATTTTCAACGGAAACTATTACTTCGTTCCCTTGCTTTTTGGCAGCGGTTACTTTAGTTCCTAATTTAAATTTTATACCCTGCTTTGCCAAAATCTTTTGCAAAGTTTGACTAACTTCGCCGTCTATTCCTAAACCTCCAATGGTAGGTGTAAATTCAACTGCGGTTACTTCAGTGCCTAACCTAGGAGTATAGATTTTTAATAATAACAGAGGGTTCAATATTTTTCTAGATATATAGATATAGTTTGTTGTTAGAAATAAATAGAAACAAACCTTTGCCAAACTGAGCCTAATTCCAAACCGATAACTCCAGCGCCGATAACTATTAATCTTTTTGGAATTTGGTTCAATGATAAAGCACCGGTAGAAGAAATAATTTGTTTTTCATCAATCTCAATACCTGGGAATGGCGTTACTTCGCTACCGGTAGCTATTATAATATGTTTGGCATTAACGGTACTTCCCGCAGATCCATCCGGCTGAAGAACAGTTACTTGATTTTTTCCAGTAATTTTTCCATGACCCTTAACCCATTCAACTTTATTCTTTTTAAATAATCCAGCTATACCGCCGGTCAATGATGCTACTACGTTTCGTTTTTGTTCCATTAACTTTTCCAAGTTAAGCTGAACATTTTGCACTTTAATGAAAAAATTATAAACAGATTTATACTAGGCGAATTATTATTAGGAGTATATCGAGGGATAGGTTTATAATATTTACCCATTACACCTCGTTTTTCTAAATCTCCACTATGTGCCATATGATAATAATAGGAATTATTTAAAAGTGATTTTGATGGAATACATCCGATATTTAAACAAGTACCACCCAATGTAGGATTTTTCTCAATACAGGCAGTTTTCATACCCAATTGAGCGGATTTAATTGCTGCCACATATCCTCCAGGACCTGAACCTATAACGACTACATCAACGTCTATCGCACTTGCGTATCTTCTCTGTTGGGCAGCTGTCAAGCCAGGTATAATGCGCTTTGCGCATGTTGGCTAAAATCAAACATAAAATGTTAATATATGATATATATTTGAAAATTCAAGATGTTGTAAGATTGATCAATGACATAATCGATAGAATAAAACACTCATAAATTATAATGATTTTCATTAGAGCTTGTAGCTTAGGATCGTCGTAAGAATTACAATTCTTATATCATTAATAATAGAAAGTGAATGAAATCGTATAAACTTTCTTATTAATGACACAGAAAGTTTCTATGGTCTAGTTGCCCTTCAGGATATTACGAAATAGTTTTCTATAATGTACGTCTTACGACGATGAGTTGAAATGAAGAAAAATTCATCGTGAATGAAAGTCTCACTTTTGGCTTACCTTGATGGAAGTGGTCACTAAACTCCAAAAGCTGGCTTGCATGATATTTTTTATAATATACCTTAAACTAGAATACAGAGATCAAAAATGATCAGCGGAGTCCTCAATAGTGCAAACTGAAGGCTGCCGGTTATCACAATATATTATGCGATAACTCGATATATTCATGCAATAGGATCTTAAAATTTCTTGGTTAGATGGCACCAGTCTTAACTCTTTAAGAAGTATCAGTCGACAATGCAGTTTGGATCAATGGAATTTTATAAAATAATTAAAAGTTTAGAAAAGTTTAGAAAGTTTAGAAAATCCTTAGAAAATAATACAAATCGATCGAATACGATACTCAAAATGTAGATCGTAATTTAAATATAAATTCATAAATAATAATTAATGACAGTACTTTGTTCGATATATTATTTATAAATAAACTTTCGTTTTATTAAAAGCTAAAAGAACAAATAATCGATGAAATTAATTATCGATGAACGAACGACGATCAATTATCAATTGATTAATTTCAAACTTTAGCGCCATTTTGTCAAAATAAATCGAACCAATAGGAAAGCTCATATTCTCTGTCTCTCTTTTTCTACGCCTTTTGTATGTAAAATTCGAACATGAGCGGGAAAGGAAATTTCGGGGCTGACATCTTGCGGGATTGATTCAAGAAAGTCTTGCGCGACGAAAAGTCTCGAATCGATTTACACGTTGAGTTTTAACTGCACACCATATGTATATACATAATATACATATTTATATACATATATATATATATATATATATATATACACATATACATATATGTAGAGAGAAAATTGTTAGAGTAGAGAAACGTCGTGTGTCGCGTCTAGGAGCCTAAGCGACGGCCCTTAGGGTCCGTACAATTTTTTTATGTGCAAAGGGTGGCGACAAAAGAGAACGTACGTACAACGAAAAGGGAGAGAAAAAGAGGCAACCAGAGAGAGAGAGAGAGAGAGAGAGAAAGGGAAAAAGATAGAATAAGTAGAGCCACGTGATAAAGGAAGAAGAGGGATAGACGTTAAGGGGAAAGGGCTCGGAGGGAGAAGGACAACAGATGTCCTACTGTATGACGCACGGGGATATTTAGCCTTCGCGAGGATAGTCGTTGCCTTGTTTCTGTACGTTGCGGAAGTATAGTGGTTACGAAAAAAAAGAGGTTAATCTCTCTCTTTCTCTTCCTCTATCTATCTTCCTCTCTTTCTCTTTCTCTCTCTCTCTCTCTCTCTCTCTTTCTCTCTTTACTTTCTCTCTTTATCTCTCTTTTGCTCTCTCTTTTATCAAGCGTGCTAAAACAAGATTTATTTGCAAAAGGACTTCGCTCCAAATTACAAGTATGTATTTTCAATTAATTATAATCCATAATTAATAAAAAAATCGATGATCATGTTCGATATTAATTATCCAAGTATCCGAACGAGTTTTGTCGATTATTTTTCTCGTTTTTTTGTTTTTCTTTTCTTGCGATTATAATCGTAATTATAATTATATATTATATACACACATATATATATATATATATATATATATATGTATGCATACACGCATGTACAGTAATCGTTAATTTGGTAGCATTGTTTCGAAACAAAAGAAGGACGATGGCTTTGAAATAATAAGCGCACATATTTGGATAATCCTCGATGATGTGCGAGATTTCTAAGGTCCAACGAAGGATCTTTCGCGATCAAGATCCGCCGCGAATACGTGATAAAGTAAAGGATAATCGTTTCTTAAAAAACGAATCGGAATTTTCCAAATCTACGCCTAATTCACCAACGGCATTGCAACAAAGAGCATCAACGTCCAGTTTGGAAAAATGTTTGAGCGATCCAGAATTCTTAGAAAAAGAATTAAAGAACGAGGATTGTTCGAGAATAAATACAAAAGGATCAGCATCTTTTTCGTCAACCACATCGTTATCTTTGAAAGTTAACGTCAATGAGAAACGAAAGGAATCCTCTTTTTTTGCATCGACGAACGTTCAGGATTTCATCGTCGAACTCTCTACGAAAGTGCCTTCGTCCTCTTCTTCTTCATCTTCTTCTTCATCTTCTTTTGGCGATAAAAAGGTAAGAGGTAAAACTTTCATCTTCTTATAATCATAATATTAATAATTTGCTAATTATATGCCCGCTGCGTCACGAAATAATACATACCTGCGTCGTTGCAAGAATGACGCGTGATCACGTGAGCACGGCGCGTGATTCGAATTAATAACGACGTAATAATATTTGACATAGATAATAATGATAATAATACTCTAATTTTGATCGTCTTCCTCTTGATTAATTATTAGCAAATATAATTACGACGTTTCCTCGAGGCTGTTCTTTTACATTTTTCTCGAAATCTTAAATAATATTTTTCACGAGCAACGCGTAAATAATGTTATGCATGCATATACGTTTGTAGAGACGCACGTTACGTACATTATTACATATAATTTATATTTTGTATGTCATTATTCAATGAACCGTATCGAAAGTAACCTTAAATACTGTTACCTCGTTTATTGTTAATGATCGTCGACAACGAATTAACAAAATATGCATAGTTGAGTATGTCGAAATGGAGAAAGGCGAATTTATGCTTTCCAACGTATTGAAATTTTAAATAAGTGGAATTTATTTATTGCGAAATGTTAAGAACGTGCCCAGAATATAGTATAACGTACGTACGATATATATCGTATACGTACGAATACGAAGATTACGCATCCGTGAAAAGTTAAAAATGTCACGTTGTGTTCTGGTGAAGAAACAGTAAAGTCACTCGCGCGGAATAAACCTTGAATAGATATCGTTCGTTCATCGACATCGAGAGAAGCTTTAACAGGTTTTTATTTTCTTATATATAATATACATCAATTATTTTACATTTAATTTCGACGATACCATACAATTTTTTCTTTTCTTTTTCTTTTTTTATCGTGTTCGCAAAGAACATAATGACGCGTACTATTTAATTATCATGTAGAATTGTATGATACTTCATTCAGTTCACATGTCTACGTATACTCGTTCGTACTTTTCAGGATTATATTATATTTTATGAACATAATATGTAGATATATGTAAACGGATACATAACGCAATCTTGAATCGTTAAAACAACGATTCAATCGCGTAAGTTAACCTCGGGGAAACGAAGAAATATATTTACTTTTGACCGCAAGAACCAGTTTCATCGTTAATGAAGTTTCCACTGGTGTCAGGTTTAAAGAGTTCACACATACTCAGCTATTATATTATAGGTACTTAGTGTGTCATTAGTAAAACGATAAGGAATAGGAAATAATATATTGGAAAATTATATCCGATATTCTTAACAGCTTTTTCCATCGCTATGATTATTATTAATTTGATAATGGTATCGTCCTCCTTCTCCTCCTCCTCCTCCTCCTCCTCCTCGTCTTCGTCGTCTTCGTCGTCTTCGTCGTTGTCGTCGTTGGTCGTCGTTGATCGTCATATTGCAGGAAAGGTGAATGATGTGTTGTTAAGATACGACAGATGTTTCGTTCTTAAAATTCTTGGAAGGGAGAGATGCATCGTAGCATGTAAGGTGATCGTACTACGACATGCAGAGGGCCCCGAGATGAATTAGGTTCGGACCTGGAAGATGCGGGCCTGTTGCAGGTTCCTTTCCACGGATGCCTTCCTTTGTGCGGAATTTGGATTAAGGGGCTTTCATAATCACGTTATTTTTCACGTTATCATATATCAAAAATTTATCATATCATCGAAAATGTGATCGTCATTTTCTGTCGTTATACATAATAGGACAAATAGATATCTCTTTTATCGATCACGATCAATAATTATCTAATTGTTAAAATGATGTTAGACTTTGTTTTTAATTTTTTTTTTCTTTCTCCTAACTTTCTTTTTCTTTTATCTCTTATAGATTGTTGCAAAACGTTATAAATCTAATGTAGATCGAGTCAATCCAAAAGGTTCAACAACTCCAATGACTTCCTGAAGATTTCCATGTTGTACCGTTTTATTTTACGTTCAAGCCACATACGAACGCGAATAGCTTTAAGCGGAAATTTGCTTGCTAATACTACGTACATACGTTTATACATAGATACATATATATATATATATATATATATATATATATATATATATACATATATATACATATATGTAACAACACGAGGGCATTGACCGCCTATGTTAACATTCGATCGGAATCGCGCTATTTTTGGTAGAAACAATTTCTCAGTCCCGTAACTGTATTCTCTAGAAAGAGAGACGTTTCGATGAATATTTTATCAATTGCATCACACTATCTTAGATTGATTAATGTAGAATCACATTAAAAGATTCAAACTTATTAAAAAGGTTACATCAAAATTGTCGTATTAACGTTGAATAACAGAATATCTTTATTAATTAATTGTATTATCTTATTTTACGTTGATTAATTTTGCCGGTAATCAAAAAAAAAAAAAAAAAAAAAAGAAAGAGAAAAAAATAATTATAATTTTTATCTTCTTTCCCATTGATGAATTTTATCGTAGTACTCGAATAATATCTAAAAAAAATACTTTTCCTCTTCTTATCTCATATTGATCAATTTTATCGTCGTATTTTTCTTTTTTTTTATTATTTGAAAGGGTCCCGTGAGTCTTTTCGAATTCTTTTTCTAGTTAGACGATCGCACGAGAGAGGCGTGAAAACATTTACTAGACAAGTGTTCGGTGTGAAAGCAGCCTAATTAAGGCTGGAGCCAGCGTGGTCTCGAGGTGCAGCTTGCCGTGGCGGAGCTTCAGTTCGGTGTTTACGCTCGTACTTTAAACATTTTTCTTAACTCCCTTAGCTCCGTACGTACATATCGCACCAGGTGTTGCAGTTCTTTTTCTCTTTCTTTCCTTTTTTTTTCACATTTATCGATTTTATTATATTATCAACCAAGAAACAGTGGTGACAATTTTCTTTAGTGAGATCTCTATTCATCGAATTTAGGTAGAATTGAACGACGAAGTTTTCTTTTTTAAACATTTTAGTAAACATAGATTTTTGCAAGAAACAATCGAAATTTCCTGCGAGTTATCTACGTTCGACTTCTAGTATGTATTTCTATCTATTTAAATTTTTAATTAATAATCAAAATTATATAATCTAGATTAAAATCGAAACTTTTATCGTGTACGATGGAAGCAATAGCAGGATGAGAATATTACGGGATAACTTTGTTATTAATATTAATGAACGAGATCATTTCTAGTACGTCATCGTACCAGAAAAAAAGAATGCAAAGTTCAAATCGACTGTCCCATTTAATTTTTATTTTGTTCTAATTTTTATTTTTTTAATTAAAACGTACACGACGTACATGAGTTTTTTCATATCTGCATAATCCTCTTCAGTATGTGATAACATTCATTCGAAATGTATTTAAAAATTTACGTGTGTGAATATATATATGCTTGTTTGTAACGATGTAAAATTGCGTAACACGAAGACGTTTTGTATTTGCACGCCCATTTGACGTATTTCGCCTACTTAAGTTCACGCACGCACACTTATCGTACACCTATTTATACAATTAATATTTGTTTGCTTGAACAGCAAAAAATAAGAAGACTGAGTCTCTCGAGTTATGGCACATAACAGACATTATTACATTGGATGACGTATTAATTAAAAAAAATTCGCAGTCGTATTCATTGAAATTATGAATGAGTGTGTGTGTGTGTGTGTGTGTGTGTATGTGTGTGAGCGCGTGCTCGTGTGTTTTTCATGAATTATTTAAATGACTTTGTGAAAATATTTTTATCTTTTTATTTATTTATTTTTCTTTTCAATATAATTTCTAATACTTTGTTATATTACCTTAATGTGATACGACATAATCAATGATAATATTGAAAAGTATAAAAAAATGATATTATAAAAAATATTTAAATAATATAGTCTCTTTTACTATATTATGTACGGTATTAATGATAACGATATCGATTTATTATATATTCGATTTGAACGTAGCACGAAGCTCATGCCTTTTATAAAAGGCGACCCCGTAGCGTGCATACTATGGTTACATCCGTTGAATAATTATAAGATAACGCTTATCGTGGTTCACGTCTGGCGTACTTTGCTCGTAAATTTAAGACAAAGATTTGCTTTGAAACCGCCAATCGTTATACTAGATATCAACTACATAAACCTTTTCGATAGCTCGATTAATGTCTATCTAACATTAACAAAACTATGGCTCTCTTCTTTTTTTGCTTTTTTTTTTCTTTTGTGCATATATATATACATATATATGTAAGGATAAAAGATATTAAACATGTTATCTTTGTAATTAATCGCCGTGGTAACTACTACGCATTCGAATGATTTTTAATTAAGGAACTAGTTTATAACGTAGACAAATTTTGTTTTTTTACTTTTCTATTTTGCTTTTACAACGACTATTTCAAGTGGTAATTTTAACTTTCTAATTGTTTTATTATATACACTTTGAAACTCTTTATCTACGATCATTCTTCTCTCCATTGTCCTTTAAATTATTATTCTCGAAAATATTTGTATTTACATATGTCTGGAGACATGAACTCATAAAAATGCGACATGGAATTTAATAAAGAAATTTTTAACGAGTATTTTATTCAAGGGGGAAAATATTTGGAAAAGGATGAATTTCGAATGTAATAATTTTCATATATATATATATGTATATTCAATTATTCATTTTTCTCGCATTCTTTTTATAATGAAAAAGAATTTGCCAGTAGCAAGGTATTTTTATAGAGAGAAAATGTTATTAATAATTGGTCGTATTGAAAGTCACGGTTTTGAACGATTTAAACGATCGGTATACTTTCAAAGTGACCAAGTTGTCGGTCTTAAAAGATTAATTCAACTGCAAACTGGTTGCACCGCGTTCAGAACTAGATTCTCCTTGTGAGACTGAGATTCTTATATACAGGGTGTGAAATCATTTTCTGCGATCGACCGGTCAATAATTTCGAACGACTTTCGATCGATTTAGTTTCGAGCGAGAAAGAAAGATAAAAGATAATTAAAAACGATTTATAATACATACGTGTATAAAT